AAATTAAAAAATCACGTGAAATTCGATAAGTCGGTTCTCTCGATAAGTCGGTCGCAGGGGTCCGCCCCGACATGACCGACTTATCGAGTTTACATATGTAGTAATCTTTAAAAGTTGGTCGAATGACTATTTTTACGTTGCTATCATTAAATTGACCAATAAGAATACAATATCGTGATTTTGTGTTACCATTAAAGTAATACTTGCCACATCCAACACCAACTAAAATTTTTCCAAAACCAATTCACCATAGTTTTTTTGCAAATTCATTATTGTAGGTCCAATTGTTGAAAATACACAGTTTGCTAATAAAACCCATCTTCTCTTTTATTATCAGCAATGAATGAAGCCATAAGTGATCCCAATAAACCTCCTAAATTAAATATAAAAATAGCTAAAAATATTATGTTGGTATCATGAGTATGCAACTTGGTAAAGAGTAGTTATTAATGGAAGTTGGTGAATTCAGCCAATATATTATCAACTTTGGACAAGGATAGTGATGGGGAAATTGCTGGTAATATGTAATTACCATATCAGCTGATTTGTTTTTTGGGTCCTTCTTTCAAACCCTACACACATGTAAACTCGATAGGTCGGTCATTTATTTATTTTAAACAATTGATTGTTGCATTTGGCTTCTTATTATATGTGTATAACTGGTCAGTAGAATGATGATTAACCCTAAAAAATTTTATTATTTCGTCAAACCAATGGCACTACCTCAAAACTAATGGATTATTGCTAGTATAGGGTATTCATAACGTTATGATCATACCATACTGAATTTTGAGTTCAATCAAAATCGATACATATGCTCAAAGTACATTTTTTGAGAACCTAGGGTTTTAATTTTATTAATTGTGTTATTATACATGGCATTTAATATAGCAATTCAATATGTATTTACCATGGTGATTATTCTTAATTCTTTTTATCATGATGATAAGACAAAGGGTTCCGAATCTAAATCATTTTTTTGGTGACATCACTATACTGATATATATATAAATATTTGGCTTTGATCATTGGTTATGAAAATTTGGTCGGTTTAATTGGTCAACTTCAATTTCGTCAACTTCAAATGCGACGAAATTATTAATAATAATAATAACGGTTTGACGAAATAATTCCCCGCTTTGCAAAGTATTTCGTCAACCATTCTTTACTTTTAAACCATCGATATTAATTTACCCAAAAATTTCATTTTTTTATATATTAATATTAGGGTCCTTTTTATATCACAAAAATTTTATATCAAAAAAAAAATTTTTTAATATAAAAAGTTACTTTTTTTTTTTTTTTGATATAAAAATTTTTGTTTTAAAGTGCGCAACATTACAAATTTTATTTTGATAAGTCGATCACATGTGCCTGCCTCTACATGACCGAATTACATGTACAAGTAAATTAAAATGTTGGATTCATGTGGTCATGCTTTATTTCGATTCTTTGCATAAAAAAAAAATCTTGCATAAAGCTAAATCAATTTTTTCTAGACATTTTTTTATCTCTCTTCTACTTTATTTTCTTCAGAAATTTCATAATCTCGTGTAACAAAATAGTAATATATTAATATTAATATTTAATATATTTTCAGTCAACAAAACCAATAAAGTGTAACAAATAGTTGAGAACTGTTTTGGTCATAAAATAAATTAATACAAATTGATGATGGAATTCAAATTTTTTTGTTATTTTTATTATTCTTTTTCTTTACTTTTCCCTTTAATTAATCAGTTATCCTTCCTTACTCCAAAATAGAGAGAGCTATTTCATAACTTCTTTCTTGCTCATTCCTCATTTCACACGTTCTTTCGTTCTTTTCGAATTCCAACGCCATTCTCTCTTGCCATTCTTATTATACTACTACACTTCTCCTTCATTAATAAATTAACATTAATACCGAATACTTTTCATGGTGTTGGAAATAACAAATCAATTAAAAATTAATTCTTGTATTTAGTACATTTTTTTTATTCATTATAAAAAAAATAAGCAACAACAAGAAAATAATAAAAGATGGAATCAAATTTTGAAAATAAAAAGATGTATCGTAAATCTCTCAGCAGGCCTGAACGTAATCAAGTAGCACCACCTTTGTTGACAGGAAAAACATCAGCTAATAATTCTTCCATAACTTGTTGGATTTTATTTTCAAAAATAGTCACTTTCTGGGCACCCGGTCCTTTATTATCTTCAATAGGCGGACTTAATGATAGACAATCTAAGCAAGCTTGGCGCGAAAAAATAACTTTATGTTTTATTGCATTACTTTTAGGCTCTATAGCTGCATTTTTAACTATGGGATTTCAAAGAGTATTATGTCCTTTAGTTGATAATGATAATCCAACAAAATTTAAACCTTATTTAGGATCTCCAGGTAAAAATTAATTATTCATCAATAAACAATACGATAATTATCATTAAATAATATATATATGTATATTTATTTATTTATTTATTTATTATTTTTAGGACATCTTGGAGTTTTAGGATTTCAATATAACATAGAAAAAACAAAAATAGATCCTAAAAAAGGCGGCGTAAATTTTTATAAATTAGCAACTGATAAAAGTGGTCAAGATATCACAAATCTTTTTCAACGAAATAATGGCTTAATTAATGAATGTCAAATTAATGAAATACAAAAATTTGCTGCTGTTAGATCTCCACTTTGTCAACAAAATTCATGTGTTCTACCATTCACTATAAGTAATCAATCTTTAACTGACTTAGGGTTTGTTAATACTCAAACGAGGGTTGGATATGATTGGGATCATTTACCAGGTTTAGATAATTACATTGTCATTGATGGAAATGTTTTAAACCTTAACCCCTATATACAATATCAAAAACCTTTATCAGATGATCAATTAGATGTTATTATACGGAAAGTCTTAAGTCCAGTTTATGCAAAAAATGGTAAAGATGCTACTCGTTTGTTTTTTAGTAAACCAGATCTGAAAGCTTCTGTGAATTGTCTTGTCAAAAAATATTATGCTGGAAGCATTGATAAAGAAACAATCGGTTGTTTTACTTCTAGATTACTTTTATATATTGCGTTGGTTGTAGTTTTAGGAATAGTTTTGACAAGATTTACTATGGCTTGTATTTTCAGCTGGTTCATTTCCCCTCGTTTGGCTCATCAACCAAAAAACTCAAAAAAATATTCTTCTGAAAATATCTTTGTTAGTCCTCCATTCTCACCATATTTAAGTACCCTTAAATATCCTGGCAAAACTAGAAGCTTCATGACATCAGATGATGTAGGAAATGATTTATTCACTGTATTACTTGTAACATGTTATTCTGAAGGTGAAGCTGGAATTCGAACTACTTGTGAATCAATGGCTGCAACTGATTATCCTGATGACAGAAAACTGTTGTTTCTAATTTGTGATGGTATTATCACTGGTAGCGGTAATGATCGTAGTACACCAGATGTTTGTGTTGGTTTAATGGAACTAGATACTGAATTTAAAAATCCTCAACCAATGAGTTATAAGGCAGTGGCTGATGGCTCTAGACAACATAACATGGCTAAAGTTTATGCAGGACATTTTATACTAGAAAATCATTGCGTACCAATGATCGTAGTTGTAAAATGCGGTAATTCTAAAGAACAAGGAAGACCGAAACCTGGAAATCGCGGGAAAAGAGATTCTCAATTAATATTAATGAATTTCTTTAGCCGAGTCACTTATAATGATCGTATGACTGAATTAGATTATGATTTATTCAGGAAAATCCATTATCTTATGGGTGTTACACCTGATTTTTTTGAAATCGTATTAATGGTTAGCAAAATAATTTAATTTTTTTTATTATAATTATTATTACTATTCATTATTTAATAATATGTTTATATATACACACTATATATAATTGTTTTAGGTAGACGCTGATACAAAAGTATATCCTAATTCATTACAATTACTAATCAATTGTATGTGTAATGATCCGCTTATTATGGGTGTTTGTGGAGAAACAAAAATTGCAAACAAACGCGATTCATGGGTTACTTCAATACAAGTATTTGAATATTACATATCACATCATTTAGGTAAAGGATTTGAATCAGTTTTTGGTGGTGTTACATGTTTACCAGGATGCTTTAGTATGTATAGACTCAAATCCAGAAAAGGGAAGACCGATTGGGTACCAATCATTACTAAACCTGAAATAGTTAAAGAATATTCACAGAATGAGGTTGAAACATTACATCAAAAAAATTTATTATTACTTGGAGAAGATCGATTCCTGACCACCTTGATGTTACGAAATTTCCCTACTCGTAAAATGATATTTTGTCCAAAAGCTGTTTGTAAAACAACTGTTCCCAGTGAATTCAAAGTTCTTTTGTCACAACGTCGTCGTTGGATTAATTCAACAATTCACAATTTGATGGAACTTGTATTAGTTCGAAATCTTTGTGGAACATTTTGTTTTTCTATGCAGTTTGTTGTTTTTATGGAATTGATAGGCACAGTGGTATTACCCATAGCAATTTTATTGACCTATGCGTTGATCATATCAATGATTATAAGACCACCACAACAATTTGATGATATGATTCCTTTAATCATGTTAGGAATGTTACTTGGTTTACCGGCCATTTTAATTTTAATCACTACAAGAAAACTTGTTTATATCGGCTGGATGTTTGTTTATATATTTGCTTTACCTATATGGAGTTTTATATTACCATCATATGCTTATTGGCATTTTGATGATTTCTCTTGGGGTGAAACAAGGAAAGTTGAAGGCGAAGAGAAGTCAGAAGATCATAGCAAGAAAGAAGGTGAATTTAATGCAAATAATATTCCTTTGAAAAAGTGGGAAGATTGGGAAAGACCAATATTGCATAAAACGAAACAAAGAGAAAAACAAAATATGCTAGAAAAACAACAGCAAAAATTGTATATAACAACATCAGTAAAATTTCCATCTCCAAAAAGTTCATCACCGACATCTACATCAACATTAACTCCAACAACAGCAACAACATTAACAGGACAAGAACAATATTTTAAACAAGAACAATATTTAAAAACAAATAATTATCATAATTCTTCCAATAATAATAGAGTCAATGAAAATGGGACTATAAGTTCTAATTATTCACAAAAAACACAAGAATTTACTCCACAACAGCATCAAGCGCATCACTACAATAACTACCAGCAGCACCAAGCGAACAAAAAATCGAAAAAAGTGCATGAACAACAAAGGAGACAGAATGAAGAAGAGGGAGGAAAGGAAGAAGACCAAGAAGGTCAAGATCAACAGGATGAACAGAATCAGCAAGAATATCAGGGATCAGATCAAAATAATGATTATTATCAAAACCCATATGAATATGGTGATGATGATAACGTTGATCAAGATAATTATTATCAACAAGAAAGGTCTTTTTATGAACAGTCACAAGATCTTGGTTACGAGCAGCCACAAGATTCGTTTTATGGCCAGGAACAAGGTTCTGCTTATCAACAACCTGGAATAGATTTATATCAGCAACCACAAAATACTTATTATGAGCAGCCATCACTATCAAGTAACTTTGAGCAATTAGGAAGTCAATTTGAAGAATCAAAGAATAATTTTTTTAGCAAAGTCAAGTCATCTTTTAAATAAGGAGACTAATAATAATAATTGTTACATATGTAATACATAAAAAAATACACGTGAATATATTTATTGTGTGTATTCGCTAATTATATTATAATTATTATAATTATCAAAATAAAATATTCTTACGTCAATTTTTTTCATTTCAAAGAAAGGATTTTTACTAGATAAGTTAATCAATAAAATATATTGTATATTATAATTATTTATTTTAATGTATCTTTGTAGAGATGAAAAAATATATTAACATATAATCAAATTATTAAAAGAAAAAGTACTGATCGATTATTTTATTATTGCTATCATTATGATTTTTTTATAAAAAAAAGAATCAAAAAGATTTATTGTTTTCTTGTTGCCTGCCTTAAAGATTTTATATCTTCTACTTGTTTATCATATGCACGTTGCAAAAATTCTTGTTTTTCAACATAACTAAAAGAATTTACAATTATATGTAAATCAAACTGGTTATTATAATAAATAACATTTATTTATATTGTTATGAGTTAATTATATTTACCCATTTTTATTATGATATTTTAATTCATCTACAATTCCTTCATTATTAGTAAATTTATTCCAATCCATTTTAGATTTTTCCAAAGTATTTAATTTTGTAGGTTTTTTGTTAAGTGAGTTAATTAATTTGGATTTAGGTCTACCAAACTTATCTCTTGATTTCAATATTGAATTAAGTTGTGATTTTGGTTTTTGTTTTTGTATAGGATTTGAAGATTTTTTATTAGATATTGGTGTTGCTGATGATGATGAGACTAAATTATCCTTAATATCAGAGGAAATGGTAGCAAAATTATTCTCGGTTTTTGATTGTCCTTTATTGTCATCATTATTTGTTTTTATTGAATCATTTTTAGTTTTTTCTTGTCCTGATAAATATTTTTTTGCTTCTTCTGAATCTTCTGGAACGGTTTTATGTTCCCTATTTGATAGTAATTATAAAATTAATTAATTATATCGATATAAATAAATAAAAAATCAACTAATTTAATTAAAAAACCGGGTTTTTTTTTAGTATAAAACCAACGTAAAAATTTCACCAGCAAATTCGTATGTTTTAGTTATAGTTATCGTTTTATTAATTAGTGAAGAGGAAGAGCTAGTTGATGTCATCATAATATTGAAATATGATGTGTGAGAGAGAAAGAAAATAATCAACCAATTGAGACGATGTGATTATTATTTATGATTTTATTTACAATTTCCTATTTTGGCAAAATTTTTTGTATACTTATTATTATTATATTCAATCATAAAAATATAAAGATGAACGACAATAATATTGTTAATAATGTCTTAAACACAGCAAGATCTTCAATTCAAGGCTCAAGAATTATTTCTAATTTAACTGAAGCTAGACTAAATGATTTAATGCCAAATTCATTACAGCTCGATAACATTACAAGTGCTGTATCAACCACTGTATCAGCTACTGCCTCAATGCTTTTTTCTCCACTAGCAACTCGTGCTGTAAAAGGGGATACTGCTTCTATTTTGTCAGAATTAGCACCCCAACTAATGGATCAACGACGCATTTTACAATATGCCAATGGAAGTGCACGCCAAACAGGCGAAAGCACAAATAGTCGATTCATTACATTGGATGAGATTTCTTTAAAAAGCAAATTTGGTTTAAATTCAACTTCATCGGAAGTTTCATTAGATGTTGAAATACCAGAATCTAAAGCTCCATTATCTTTATTTCAAGGCTATAAGATGACTTGTTCAGAACTTGAGATAAGTGTAAGAAAAAAAGGAAAATTATCCAAGAAAAGGGCTAAAGGTTATTTAACTGATGGATTTGCGTCTCCTGATGTTCTATCTGATAATGGTAATTTGTCAAAATACCTTGAATTATTTATATGTAATTTGGTTTTATATAATAATTTATAATTCAAATAGAATATTATGTGCCTTGTTATTTACCATAAATAAAATAGATTATGATTATAAGCCATTGAACAAGCTCATTGCAGATCGTGATAGAGTAGTCAAAGAAACCGATCAGTTAGCAATACAAGGGGTGAGTAATTTAATTGATATTTTATAGGCAAAAATAAATACATTAAACTACTATAATATATGTTTTTTCTTACATATTTAGTCAAGAGCTATAGCAGAAATTAAAAAAATAGAAGAACAAATAATTGAATTGTCATTGAAAAAACAAAATTTAGGGAATGATTTAATCAAGTACAATGAAAGACAAATCGAATTATCTGATCAACGTAATAAATTTATTTATTTTATGAAGCAAATAAATTTTTTGTTAAATCTTAATAATACTAAAAAAAAAGATATTATTTATTGATTAATTATTTTATTTATACAAAAAATTTTGATTAGTGGAGGAATTAAATGAAAGCATTAAAAGCATTTCAAATTATAATCATATTGAAAAAGGGTCATACAAAATTAAAGGTTGATTATTTATTATTATTAATTATTATAGAAAATCACAATTTTTTCAATTTTATTATTTGAAAGGTTAATTATTAATTGTTAGAAAATTATGTAGGAAAGAATGCATCGAAACATAAATATGAACCAGGAACATGTATAAAGGTAAAGAAAAGAAAAGAAAATTTTATTTTTATATTTAAATAAGATATTTATCTTTTCGCGCAAAACAAATTTTTTTTAGACCTTAGAAGGTCACGATGATATGATTATTTGTCTTGATTTTGACAAATATGACGGATTACTGGTTACATCTTCGTTGGATAATACATTGCGAATATGGGATTTGTCTAGTAAAACTTGTTTAGGTTTATTGAATAATCATCATGGTTAGTCTATAAATTATAATTTATCACTTTCTAATATAGAATAATTGATATCAGTAATCATATATTTACTAATAATGTTATTATCATTTGTTATAATTATTAGATATTGTTACTTGTTTACAAATAAATGATAATTATCTCATTACAGGATCAAGAGATAAAACGATATGTTATTGGGATATATCTAAAGCAAAACTAAATACCAATTCATCAGATAACATAAATGTTAATTCTGTCTCATCGATAACATCACCATTAACATCATCCACTAACATCACCACTAATGCAATAAACCAGTTTAGCGAATTATCAAATATAGGTGGAGATTGTTTTATTGAAAGATTAGAAGGACACCATGATAAAATTACATGTCTTTATTCTGAAGGAAATTGTTTGGTACATATGAATTCTATCATTATCATCGCCATAATCGTTGTTGTTATCGTTATTGTAAACAACTACTATTTTTGTTACTAAATGATTTTTATATTTGATTTAGGTAACAGGTTCTTCTGATAAAACTATGAAACAATGGGACTTGGAAACAGGAAAATGTATTTTAACAATGGATGTTTTATGGGCAATGTCTAATTTTAATGTTGAGCGCAGAAATTACGAATTCTTTTTGGATGATTATAGCTTTGGATCTGGCGAGTTTGTTGGCGCTTTACAGTTTAAAGACGTAGGTTTAGCAAGCGGGACAGAAGATGGTGCAATAAGAATGTGGGACTGTATCCTATAATCACAACATAACTTTTAATATTTTATAAAAAATTTTAAAAATTTTTCTTAACTTTATGAAATTTTAAAAGTAAGGACAGGACAAACGCATAGAACACTTCTTGGACACACCGGTAAATTGTCATGCTTGTATATTAAGATATTTATAATTTAATTGATTTATATCCATACATGTATTTTTATTAGGCCCAATAACGTGTCTTCAGTTCGATGATTTGCATTTAGTAAGTGGAAGTTTAGATAAAAGTGTAAGAGTAAGTATATTTATATATATTATGTTATAATCTTTAAAATTTGTCATTTGACTATTACAAAAAAAAACCCCGATATTTAACTTATTTATTTGAAAAGACATGGGATTTACGCACGGGATCTATAATTGAATCATACTCATATGAACATAGTGTTACAAGTTTAAAATTTGATTCTCAAAGAATTTTTAATGCTGCTGGAAGCAATGATATTAAGGTTAGAAGATAAGATGAATATTACATATTTAATCAATTATTAATTAAAAAAACTTTTTATAGATTTATAACCGTAAATCGTTTCAACACTCAAGTTTTGATGGTCATTCTTCACCAGTACACTGTTTAAAATTTAAAGATACAATACTATTATCAGGAGGAAAAGATAATCTCGTAAAAATATGGGCTTTGTAATTTACTGAATAATGCCACTATCATAGTTGGTAATGTTGGCAATGGCAATTTATTATTATTCGCATTATTGCAAGGAAAAATAACAAAGAATTAATCATTTATAATAGTTGTATTGATATTATTATATTAGTAGACATTAATAGACAATCATAATAATAGAAGTGTTAATAATTAATTAATTTAAAAATAGATTCTCCTTAATTAATTACTTTCTTTTGTAGATAATTTCTGTTAAAAAGAATTATCTTCAAGGATAAAGTTAATATTTATATTAAAATAAAAAATTATATTTAATATTGTTTCTTATTTAAAAGTAAATTTTTTTTTGTTCGAATCAATAGATAAATAAGTACACGGTGTAATATATAATATTCAATGACTTCTGCCACAACTTATTTTCTTTGTAAACGATTTTTAAATGGCTTTTCAACACAAAGGGACCTCTGAGCAAATGAAGAAAGATCTACATTTCAATATACATGTTGTTTTTAAAGTGATTATCATATATTTATTAAAAATATGCAAGAAAAAAAATCAAAAAAACCAATTAATTTTACATAATAAGCTATTTATCATATAAAAATAAATACAATAGAAATAATGAATAAAGAGAAGAAAACAAAACTATCAATAAAGTGTTTTGAATTTCTATGAAAGATCAAATCCAACATCTGCATTTATAGCATATTCCAATTTTCTTTTGTTAGAAAGAGATTAAAATAAATAAATATAAAAATTAAAAAAAAAGTGTTAAATATCAAAAGTCATGATTATTATAAAAAACTTACTCTTTCAATATTTTTTTGTCAGGATAAGCAGGTAATTTTAATAAATTAACACAAGTACTCGATGAAGGTAATCTAATTTCAGTCCCTGCTCTCCTTATACTAAATTTTGGGTGAAGTTCTTTGAACCCAAGTAATGGGGGACGAGAACATGATGTAACAAATTTTATCAACTTTTGTTTTTGTTCTTCAGAAAAATCAGAGACAACTTGCCAAAAGTTAATCATCACTGGATCATCTTCTTTGTAATCGGCATAAACAGTATTTTGTCGTAAATCTTCGATATCAATAGGAATGTATGCTCCCCCAACAAGAATTTGAAGCTCTTGCTATATATATAAAATGCAAATATAAATATATGATTAAGAAAAACAACAAAATTTTTTAAATTAAAGAATTTCTTGGACCTGATTAAACATTCTTAACCATTTCGGTTCTATCAAATCTGATAAACCATTAAAGAATGCTTTACATTGTCTGTATATTTGTGCATTAAGTCTATGATTTGCTACTCTATAAATATATTCAATACTATTATTATTGGTTACTGGAATATTAGAGCCTCCTGGAACTAATTCAATAGTTCGTGTCTCTCCAAATTCTAAATATAAGTAAGGGGAAGGGATAAAAATATAAATTTATCTATAGATAAAAATAAAAAAATATAAAATATTAATATTTACCATCATCCACAACGGTAAAATTTAATGATAAATCTGATTCTACATCTCCTTTATAATTTTTCAAAAACATTAAACCTTGGTATAACTCTGGGTCAAGGGATGGTAAATCATCCACTTTTTTTAAAAGTAAAGTTGTTATTAAAAGCTTATTACTTGAAATAGGTATAATAATTGTTAATTTTAAATAAGAACTCACAATAAGATGATCTTCCGAGCCATTTGCTTAAGAAAAATCCAGCAAAGGCAGCATCAACTAAAATTCCTTCATATAAAGCTTTTCCTAAAATACGACCAATGAATCCGTAATAATTTAATTGTGTTTCTGAAATAACATTAATTATAAATAAGTTAGCCAATATGAAAAATTGATAGAATATTTTAAAAATGTGTTAAGATAGTAACCTTGACGTGCATATAAATGAGGATTGGGATATAAAAGTTGTTCTTTGGTGTTAAGAAATAAACCATAATTGGTATCAAACGCTATATGTGTTATACTAAATAAATTGATAAAATTTATAATAAATGTGAATATAATAATAGCAGTAATGATGATAATATGTATCGTCTATTAATATCAATCACTCATACATACGATGTTAAAAATTCCTTGAATAAACCACCACCATCAATACCTGCTTCTTGAATACCAAATTCATCAATAAATTTAATAGCTATGGGTTTTTTAAGATTAGGTCCTAAATCATTTAGTTGCTTAAAACCATCTTCAAAAACATTTGTACGGTGTATTGTGACGAAAGTCCGTCCAAAGTAATTATGACGACTATGATTATAACTAATGATTTAATTAATGAATGAATGAATGAAAAATTAGCCTCGGTATTAAAATTTTATAAATTAAATTAAATATAATTAATGTAAATCACACCGGCGAAGATCGTTTTGAATAAATTGTCGAAATATCTTTACTCGATCCTCAAAAGGAATAACAAAAGGTATGTTATTCAAAATTCCCAATTTTGGACTAATAGAAGTTAAAAGTTTTTTATCAGCAACTATATTATCAGCAAATTCTTCTTCTTCTTCCTCTCTAATGACATCCTTTGCAAAAAGACTAACATCAAACTCCGGTGACATTAACCAATGATTTGGAGGCGTAAAGGAACGTCGTGAACTAAAAGGAAAAAGCAATATATGTCATTCATAATAATAATAAAATTATGATAGTAAAGATTTTATAAATTTTAAAAAATCAATATATTTCATTATAAAATAAGCATACTCTTTTGCATGTATTTGTTGTAATAATCTGGTTACAATGTCTCTTAAATAATTGAAAGAAATACAACTCCCTTCAATATAATTGTCCATTTTTAACGTAGAACTATTCCAATATAAAGAAAAGCCTATGTTCTATAACAAAATATATATTCGTGACAAATAAACTTATTAGTATATTAAATAAAAACAATCTAAATGATTAATATATATAAAAAAAAAGATTAAGGAAAACCTTCAAAGTCGTTGATAATTCAAGAATTTCCGATAAACTTAAAGGATTCTTAGATTCATCAAAAAATTCATTATCTCCCATTGTGTACAAACCACGACTATATATTTCACATATTAAAGCAAAAATCGCCCAATCTTCTCCTAACAATGGTTCTATGGCGGAGGAATTATTATTATTATCACCATAGTAAAACTTGGTTCTTCACAAATTCATTGACCCCCCAAAAAATCAAAAAACGTTTCAATTTAATTAAAATCATTTACCATCCATGTAATAATGCTTGTTTAAAAGTGTTTTTGGAATAAATCCCAACTCCTTAAGTGTTAACCATAAAATACTAATAGTTGGTGTATCTTTTGATATGGATATTATGTTATAAATTATACCATCTAATAATTCCATTTTTCGTGATGGCCATCTAATCAATAAAGTCATCATTAAAAGTGCTATCTTACGCAAAGCAACATAGCCACCTGTTTTACCGTAAACAAATATAGAAATCCAATTTTGTGTATCAAATAACATTGAAATTCTTTTTTTTGTCAGAGAATCTATTTTTTGTATTATCAATAATTCTGATTTTTCTTGAATTTTTAAGTTGTATTCATCATCTTCTTCATCGATATCTGCGGCTTTATTGATTTTAATTGTTTAAAAAAAATTTTTCTTCTTTAGAAATCATCAATTGAAAAATATATGGTTAAAGTGCCACTTTTTTAAATAATAAATGATATTAATACCAAATGTATTTGATTTCTCCTCAATCAAACTTGTTGGGATTTGTAAAGATAAACGTTGTATAACTCCTAAATAATCTTCCTAAGTTTTAGATGAAAATTCACAATAGGTAATTAATTATAGATAAAAAAAATTCCATAAATAATTTAAAATTAAATTACCATTTGAAAATAATTATTCGATTGATTTAATTTTCCAGATACAAAAGCCACCAAACTACTCATCAATTCAATTTTTTGTTCTAAACTTAAAACATCAAAATCCATACTATTTAGACTTTTTAATATATCTCCCAATTTCAAATCTTCAACATTGATACGATTAGGTAAATTTGGTATTGTAAAAATTTGTAGAATAAAATTTTCTAAGATCATATTAAAATCACCATTTTTATCATTTTTATTGAATAATGGAAGAATTGAAAACAAAATAGAAAAAATCAATTGATTTTTTTTATCTTCAATTGGCTACATTAAAATAAAAATAAGCAATGAGTTAATTTCTGTACGTGAAACCAAAAATTTAATTCTTTATTTATATAACTCAAATATTACTCTACCAAATGAAGTAAAATTTCCCTAAATTCACGAAACATGCCATTTTTGACAAGATATACCAAAATATCCCGAACAGTTTTACTGTAAAATAATTTGAAAATTAGTCAGGTAAAAAATGTTTAGGAGTTTAGTAAATTAGGAAAACATCTAATTTAACAACAACAACAACAACAATAATAATAACAACCTTTCATCATAATTTTGATGAAGCTTTCTATGATTATGAAGTTCCGTTATTGACTTTATAATAGCTAAGTAGGTTAATTTAATGGTGATTTGATTAGAATATCTATAAATTAAATTTAAATAAATATTAGCATTTCTTTAATATGGTTAAAATTGTTTCTTAATAGCCCTTCATAACTCATTACATCTCATTTGATCCAATGGATTTGACAAATATTAGTAATGTTTTCTTTAATTGATATGTCCAAGTTTCATATAAATCATTAAAGACAAATGGAACAAACAAAATATAAGAGTCTATAACAATAACAATTTAATAAAAATAAATTTAGTAAAATGTTTTTTAAAAAAAAATAAAGGGAGTAATATTAATTACCGAATGATTTTTGAAGTAAAATGTTGGACAATAATTTTTTACGATCATTATCATGGTGTAGTTGATAGAAAAATAAAAATTTCCGAACAAATGTTATCAATGATAAAGCCATCTCACGTTTGTTTTTAACGTTCTGTAAAATTATTTTTGACTGATTGTCCCAATTTTCACGCAATTGTGAGCGTAACTTTCTTGCTTCAA